TAAATAAAAATAAACAAACATATTAATTACTTAATTGATGTAAATTAAATTTGACTAATTTAATTAAATATGAAATATGCGTATAATTACTATAATTCTAATTATTGTGCTTGATGATAATGAGGCATGAATAAAGCCTAAAGTTGGAGGAGTTTTTAAATATGCATATAATACTATAAATACTATAATTACTATAAATCTAATGATTGTGCTTGATGATAATGAGGCATGAATAAAGCTGAAAGTTAGAGGAGTTTTTAAATATGCATATAATACTATAAATACCATAATTCTAATTATTGTGCTTGATAATAATGAACCATGAATACAACTTAAAGTTACAGGAGTTTTTAAATATGCATTTAATTACTATAAATGTAATTATTGTGCTTGATGATAATGAGGCATGAATAAAGCCTAAAGTTGGAGGAGTTTTTAAATATGCATATATTACTATAATTCTAATGATTGTTGTTGATGGTAATGAGGCATGAATAAAGCCTAAAGTTGGAGGAGTTTTTAAATATGCATATAATACTATAATTCTAATGATTGTTGTTGATGGTAATGAGGCATGAATAAAGCCTAAAGTTGGAGGAGTTTTGGGGGCTGAATGAGCTCAGAACATCCAGAACATCCCCCATCAACGGCTCCAGATTATGACCGTTAGCCAGATTAACCATCTGTCCCCAGAGTCCAGCACAGGTGTTAAATACACCTGAGCCCAGTGGGGGGGGGGGGGGGGGGGTGTTTTAGTGGCATTACAGACTAAAAAGAGAAAGAAAATAGGAAAAAAACTACAGTATTTCTGATTAAGACGTCAGATTCTGTTTGGTCCTGAAGAGAAAAGAGAGATTTAGTGGATGAATGTTGGAAAAAAAGGGTTTGAAATCCCAATTAGCTGAAAATGCTGAAACACTGAAACACAAAACTAACAGAAAAAGACACAAAAAAAATCCCCCAGAGATAAAAGAACAAAAACAAAAAAACAACATTTTTTTGTGTTTTTCCCATTTTTTTCTTTTTCAGAAAACACAAAAGAAGCCAAAAGAAATTAAAAGGTGCAAAATGACCACAGCAATCACAATTAATGGACCAAAAATATATTCATCTATCTATCTTTTAGGTGTTCTCTGGGTCTTTTTGTTCTGTTTTGGGGTCTTTTTTGTTCTATTTTATTTTATTTAGCTTTTTAGATTGGTTTTGGTTGGTTTAGCTTTGCTCTGGGTCTTTTTGTGTCCGTTTTTGGTCTTTTTGTCTCTATTTTTGTTGTTTTTCCTGCACAGTTTTGGGTCTTTTGGCTTTATAACGTTGGTTTTGGTTGATTTAGCTTTGTTCTGGGTCTTTTTGTGTCTATTTTTACCCCCCCTTTGTCTCTATTTTTGTTGTTTTTTTCTGCTCAGTTTTTGGTCTTTTGGCTTTATTAGGTTGGTTTAGCTTTGTTCTGGGTCTGGATCTATTCTTTTAGGTCTGCTCTTGGTCTTTATGTATCTCTTTTTGCTTTTTTGTGTCAGTTTTTGGTCTTATTGTCTCTTTTTTGGAATCTTTGTCTGTTTTTGTGTTTTTTAGGTTGGTTTAGCTTTGATCTGGGTCTGTTTTTGGTCTTTCTCAATTTTTGTACTTTTTGATCTGTTCATCTATCTATCTATCTATCTATCTATCTATCTATCTATCTATCTATCTATCTATCTATCTATCTATCTATCTATCTATCTATCTATCTATCTATCTATCTATCTATCTATCTATCTATCT